GAGCATCTCTGATTCTCAGGCAGCCTCTAGCCGCCCCACACTGACGTTCCCCACCTTCTCCCACCTCTCTGCATCTTGCCCTCTGCCCTGATTCTTCCTCTTCTTTCCTGCTTTCTCTGCCAGACTCCTCTAGTGGTTGAAAAGTAGCTCTCACATTTTGGCGTGTACGGCAGAGTAACCTCAACTTCAAGACCTCACATTCTCCACCGAGCACCCACAGATTGAGGTCTTTTTGCCAAATAAATGAAGTCCCCCCAGCCCAAGAGGAACTTCCGTACGGCTAAGGAGATGAGTCATTGCATTTTCTTTCCTAGACAAACCCCTACTGCAGTTCTCCATCTCCATTTCCTCTAAATTCCTCCTTTAGTTATAATCAGTCCATCCCAAATGCTACTCCTTTCAGGAGAGTCTGCAGACCCAATTTCTGTTTGTTACTTCCTAGCTGTTTGTGGGAGAAGCCAGCTGTGAGATCTTAGACAAAGTACTTAAACCCTCTAAGCCTCCTCAGGGAAGGAAATGACAGGTAACATATAAAGCTGTTAAAAAGATCAAGTAATGGGATGCACATGAAAACGCTTCATCAGCCACAGAGCCCAGTGAAACTTATGACCGTTACTCATTGGGGCCATGCTAGCCAGGGTACCAAGCAACACGGCCATTGGTTGTCTGAGTCTTTGTGTGTCTTCCTTTCTCAGTGACAGCAGCCTTACTGATGCACTGGACCAAACACTGTGGGGCCTCTTTCTCATGTACAGATGCTGTTCAGTGGGTATGCACAAAGAGCACCTGATGCAGTGAGAACTAGCAGTCCTGCCAGAGATGGAGCACCTTAAGCTATGGAAAGCCTCTATTCGAGGGACAGAGAAATGCCCATATGTCTTCACACAATCCTTGCCTCTGAGCACCTTGTAATTTACCACAAGCACTTTCGTGACCATCCCATTTCACGGTAAGAGATGTACCACTGTGGTCACATACATATGGCTGAGAAGTGTCCCTTGATGACCTCACTCTATGCACAGCCCTCTTGAGTTGCCCAAGGGAAGACAATGACCCTAATTCCTCTATGGCTGCACATTCAAGGCCACCCCAAGCTTAGGGTCCCAAGGGAACTGTTCATAGTCCCACACAGCCAACCCAGTATGACTCCATCTGCTCTTGGAAACTTCAGTCAGAATCCTCCTGCTGTCCAGCTCCCAGCTTCCTTTCCCTCCACAGGGATAAGCCCCCAGCCATCAGACAGCTTAGCTGTTCAACCCTTAGAACAAAAGGAGTTGCTTTCACTCTCTTTCTCACAGTATAGGGTTGCTTGTTTCGAAAAGAGGGCCCAGGATGTTGAGGTGTTTGCAGGGGGCTGGTGAAGAGCACACCCTTTCTCACTTCCTCACTTGAGTCCTGAACCAACTGAGAAATAAACCAAAGGAATAGTAAGGCAGATGGAGACCAGAAGGTCACTTATCCAGATAAAACTGATGTTGGAGAAAGAGGTTTTCCAAATACTGAATCCCAGAATTAGGCATCTCACTCACCCGATCATGGCCGAGCTGGACCAGGAGGCCTGTCCTGTGAGATTCATAACATGGGATAGTAGACCCTAGAGGGTTTGGGCTATTCTGCCCAGCTTCTCCTTCCAAACTTACAATCAGATTAAGCACCACCTGCTGCAGGGAGGGTGACAAGGATGCGGAGCTGGAGGGATGCAGAGAGGCCAGGTATCACCTGAAGGGTGCTGTCTCCATTTGGATGGAAGCATCTTGGGGAAATAAGCTCTCCCCATCGACACACACCTTCTGAAGATAAAAGGCCCCTTTAGACTCCTTGGAAGTGGTGATTCACTCTTCCAGCTCTTGTTGAGACAATGAAACACCAAACACCATGTCACATGTAGACATTGATACACAGAGAGAGGTGTGCGCGCGCACACACACACACACACAAATAGGATCATGCCATATGATCACAGCATATTTTATAACTGCTCTTTTCACATAACAATATATCTGGACTCCAAGTACAGTAAATATACTTTTACAAAATCATTTTCAAGGCCAAGTATCCCTCCACTGTGTTATTGTCATACCCATCTTTTGGTAACCAACCTCCTACTGTTGGTTGTCTGATTTGTTTCCAATCCCTTGCTACTATTAAAAAGTAATTGTCTGAACCTGCAGCTAAATTGGTTCAGATGCTTAACTACCATTTAAAGGTAAATTCCTGAAAGTGGAATTGCTGGGTTAAAGGGCAGGCATGTGTTAAACACTTTGGTTACATTTTGCAAATTCTGCCGCAGGTGCCATTGATGTAGTCCAATGTACAAAGGACAAAAAGAATAGACAAAAGAGCCAGTTTACCTTGCAGGCTGTGGGCTCCCACACTGGACCCCCTGTGTCCTCCGTAGGCCCCTGTGCTGTGCTGCGCACCCCAGAACTTCAGCTCACTGTGTGGGCCGATGGGCTGAAGACAATGAATGGGAAGGGGTGGTGGGTCCGGGCCTCTGTAGATGACAAAGGCAAGTGTACTTTCAAGGCTGAGTGGGGCTTCTCCTGGTTGGTGGAGGTAGACATGGTGGTTCCCGGGTCAGCCACCCATGCTCTTCCCCTGTGCTTGGGCTGATCAAAAATCAGAAAATCAGAAAACATCCTCTGACTTCATCAGTCATGAGAGTCTCCCAGATGACCTGCTACCACAAACAGCTATTTGTGGGATGAAGGACAGACATGGCGTTTGCTTTGTCCCCAAGTCCGTGCCCAGAACCTGGACCCTCGTGACCCCTTTTCACAGTCAACGATTCCTGGAGTGCTTGTGCCTCTTTGGATGGCATCTCTAAACAGTTGTTTAGTTTGTGGGCTAGTATTTTCCAGGAAGCACCTCCAAGGAAAATCTGAATGCACACAGTCCCATGAAAGGAGCTGACTGTGAATGCTCCTGGTTGAAGGAGAGTTTTTCTGGTAGCTGAGACTGGGAGTTGAAGGGTTTTCAGTTTCTTGGGGACAGAACTGGGGGAGGGTCTCGCTGTGCCCAGGGAATGCGGCCACCTGGAACACGGAGGTGGGCTCCACAAAGGAAGGAGGTTTTACCAGAGCATGGTGGAGAGCTTAGGAGTCAAACAGACCTCTGTTTAAACCCCAGTGCTGCCCGCTTTGACGGTAGGAGTGTGGGCAAGTTACCTAACCTCCATGTGCCTCAGTTTCCCTAGCTTCCAGGGTTGTGTAAGGATCTAACTGGGTAATGGGCATATAAGTTACAAGGTAAGTGCCCCCAAAGTGGTAGATGTTACTCCAGCAACATCATCAGAAAGTGTAGACAATCAGGAAGCCAGACTAGGATCCCAAAGGAATAAATAAATAAGCCACTGGACAGGGAAGCTGGGGAGGGGTGAGTTACGGGATGAGATTAAGAGATATAGCTACTGTGTATGAAATAGATAAGCATCAAGGATATATTGTGCAGCACAGGGAATTATAATCATTATCTTGCAACAACTTTTAATGGAATACATCTCTAAAAATACTGAATCACTATGCTGTACATTACACTAATATTGTAAATCACCTATATGTCAATGAAAAAAAGACCATTTGACATCTTTATGTCCCCAGGGCATAACTCAAGGTCAGCACTCAGTAAATATTTGATGAATTTGATGAATGAACATGTGCCAGGCCATGTCAAACAGGTAGACAGCAATAATGGTGAGGAGCTGGTCCCTGGAGAAGCCAAGAAAACTCCCATGACAATAATAATACTATTAATAAAAGTAGCAGACGATTATATAACACTTACATGATGCCTGACACCAAACCTCACCTCACCCTTATAATGTGGTGCTTCACCTCCATTTACACAGAAGGAAACTGAGGCACAGAGGTCACATAACTTGCCCCATGTCGTGCAGTTATTAAGGGTGGAGCAGCATCCACGTCTGGATCCTGGGGCCAGAGGACGGAGGGCTCGGGACTCTGCCAGCCTGGCTAAGGTGACGGTGGGCAAGGAGAGTGAACTCAGCTCAGGGCAGAAGGCGGGGAGGACCAGGGCTCAGACAGCGCACTTGCTCACCCAGGAAGGTCACCAAAGAGACAGGTGATGGAACAAGAGAAAAAAGGGAGGCGCCTGTCTCATCTCCGAGCTGTAAGGCAGGATGGCACATTTTTCTACAGGGAGTTGGGGCCTGTTCTCATATATTAACTCTCTCAATCGTCCCAGCGATCCTAGGGCCCAAGTACTATTATTACCCCCAGGAGAGGCACAGAGAGAGTAAATGACTTGCCCAAGGTGAAGGTCACACAGCCCATGAATGGTGGAGCCAGGATGTGTGCCCGGGCAGTGTTGTTTAAAGGCCCCAGCCCACCTGTCGAGCTGCACTGCCTCCCAGGCCGGCCACTTACAGGGTCGGTGACAGGCTTGTCCACTGACTTAACAGTGTTCCTGAGGATGTGCTCTGGCAGTGGCCCAGGGTTAGGGGCTGGGGAGATAGCGATTAACCAGATGGGGACGTCTCCTTGACAATGAGAACCAAAGACA